GGCCGCAATAAGCTCCACACCCTTCAGCAACACACTCGCATCAGGAGGGGAAACATTCATCTCCAAGGCTCGAGTCAAGTTCCTCCTCCATCTCCGCAGGGAAGTAATGGTCTCCGCCACATTCTCCGTACCCTGCGTGCCCTCCAACTGCTTGAGCACCGTCGTTCGTTCCGCAACACCACCTGGAGCGTAGAGAACGTGAAGTCTAAACAGAGCCCCCGACACCGTTGCCACCCTGTGCGTCACAGCATCATCTCGAACTGCCCGGGGCATCGCAGTCAACAGCATCGTCATGACGCGTCTCTCAAGTCGATTCCACTTACTGTCCTTCAAGTCCGAGGTCAACGTTGGCATGATCGACAATCTCTCCATCGGTGTCGCGACCTGGTGCTTCTGGTACGCCTCCTTGGAGCACCTCAAGGTCTTCTCAAACCAAGCCGCCGCGGAATCCGAAAGGGAACCCACTGTCTGCTCTGCCACGTACAACCAATCACTGAATTCAACTCCGGTTTCACCAACCAGATCCGGAAGAGCTGGGAGCTCCAAACTCCCTTTCATGGCCTCGGTATCCTGGCCACTTCTTTTCTCCAGATAGACTTGCTGGAGCTGTCGCATTCCCTGAACCAAAATGTCCAAGGGAGAGGCATCGGCCTCAGTCAAAGGCACAGTCCCTCCCACGCGAACATCATCTGGGAGTCCCTGGTGAACATTTCCATGATCTCTTTCAACAGAAGTCTCCGGGATTCTCCCAACGAACCTCGCGTGCCCAGCAGGTTCCTCCCGTTGCCCTCGTAGAGCTGGTTCACCCGGCTCTCGAACAGAAGGAATTCCTCCAGGTTGATCAGCAGGACCTGCAAGCCCAGGGGGAGCACGCGGAACTTGTCTAAGGCCATCACCTTCACCAGCGGGGTTGCGTCCAGATTCGCGGCCTGGAACTCCGCCGCGGGCCTCTCGAGGTAGAGGACCAGGTTCACCTCCTCCTGCTTGTACAACATCATGCAACAACTGGGCCGATGTATCAAGGGCCCTTCGTAGTTCTTCGTTCTGAGACTTCAACGCCTGTAGCTCCGTATCTCGACCCTTCATCGCCAACTGCACCTGCTTCCGCACTTCCTCCATGACGGTCTCATGGCTCACACTTGCCGCTGAGCTGTCATCACCTTGCGGTCGATCAGGCACCACTGGGGTTGTTAAAATCGAAGGTCTTGAGGTCCAAGCTGCCATAGCCCTGCGATTCTCCGGACTCATAAGGGGTTGCTCTGGTAGAGGGGCGCTCGTTGGGGACTGCCACACTGGCGAGGAAGCCACAGGCACTGCTCCTTGACCCATCATTGGCGCCACTAGCCTCCGATGCAACACCTCACTGATCCGAGTCACAGACCACGTACTGGCATTTCGCTCACCCTCCTGCTCCACATGGGCACTAACCTGTGGAGAGCCCATCAAACTCTCCGCGGGGGAAAAGATGCCCCCATCACCCACAGGCTCCTCGGATCGGCGTCCTTGCAGGGCTCTCTGGGCTCGAGTTTGAACGGCTCTTATTACTGCATCTCGTTGTTGGGAAAGTTGATGCGCTGCATGTTGCAGAGGAGGAGGTAAGCGTTCTCCTACAGAGGTAGCCGGGAATTGCTGCAATGGTTGCGTAGACGATGCTGTCACTTCACTAGGTCGAGGAAGACGAGGACGCTGAGGCGGCTGCTGCTGTGTTGATGAAGAGGGTTGTGCACTATCTGCTGTTGCTTGTTGTACATCATGCGCTTGTATGTTTTGTGCACTAACATTCTCCGTTCTCTCTTGACCAACCGTATCGTTCGCGCCGGGTGCGGTTGGAGGTGCCACAAATCCCACAGCTCCATGGGCAGCCTGACGATCATGTCCTGTTGAGGAGCACGGGGCCTCAGCCTGTTCACTCCTACTCTCGTTCACGACAGAAAGGCCACCCGTACTCACAGGTGGCGGTGGTGGTGGCACTCCATTCACTGCACCATAACAGGGTCCTGCCTCTTCGCCTTCCAGCACAGCTTGTCTTGGGCGACTCATAACCTGAAGATCCCTTGGCGGGGTCGTAAG